ATAACAGTGTTTTAGATTGACGCTTCACACAATTTAGTAATTTCCTCTTTTGTGTTCTCTTGATGGTTTTGCCCCAAACATCACCCCTAACTTCTCAATAGTTGTCTACATTACAGTGATGTAATATATATGATGTACTATGTATTAGACAAAATACATATGCATTCATCAGAATAATCTCTGGTCAACATTCAGAGTGGAACCCTGAACAAGGTCAGTATTGGTCTGGGAGATAAACAAGGAATTAAAAAAATCTTGGCTCTTACACTAGCACCTCAGTTCAGCACATTGCTTGCAAGCGAGCTAGTTCTTTATCATTACTCTTGCCTAGGTTTGGCAGGTAAACTTAAAAATACCCGAATAGGTATATTAACATTTGTATCAACTTACTTCTTACCACCTTCCAAATATATTTACACCTTCCTGGTTTTAGCTCGGTTTTTGGGTTTTTTTGGTTAGCTGGTTTCGGATTTTGTTGTAGTTGTTGTACTAGTTTTGGTCTTATTGTTCTTTGGGGGTTTTTGTTTATTTTGTTTTAATTAAGGTATGAGTAACATGAAGAAAAATTCTCAGGACTAACTACTTAAAATCTTTGGATGCTTTCTTGTTAATTAGTGAATATTTAATCAGAATGTATGCAATAACCTTTATTAAATCTGAAAAAAGGAAGGTTTATTTATGCTTTATAACTGAGGTTTTATCCCATTTCCAATTAGACTAATAAGCTATTGCCTCTGAAACAACATTACCTATTCACATTTTATGTATGGATCCAATCTGTACAGCATTTTTGGTGTCTGCTTGAACTTGCTATTTCACGTCACTCTCCTGGATTTCCACAGTTTTCCTGACTATGCAGTGAGGATTGCAGGTGTAACGCGTGCATGAAGTGTACACACAGAAACTGCAGACAGTATGCACACAAACCTTAAAGACTACATTTCAGTATTTTGTACTACATATTTATCCTAATGACTTCAAGGGTTTACATTCTAATAAAAATAATGGGTGCCTCATTTTATCAATTCATAATTGTTACAGCCCATCAGGTTCATACTTTTAATGTGATGAATTTTTAAAATCAATGTGAAATTTGAAAAGATGCATTATTTTGCTTTCAGTAAATAAAAACATTCCAAATTAATTAGTAAGCATTTCAATCTTTTTTAGTATTTTACTTTTAATCACAGAGAGCTTGAAAAGTAAGGTTCTCAACAGTGAATTACCTATATTAGTACTCATACTGTACAGGAAAAAATCTAAGGCACTTAAGTTTTAAAACTTTAAAACTATATTTAAAACTTAAAATTGCATTTCACTGCATTGCTGAATGAGATCTGATTACCTCAGAAACAGCATAACTCTAAAGTAATTTTTTCCCTTGACTAACTAAAGAGACATTCGTAGAGCTTACTTTGAGTAGATAAAGGCTTATACAATTTTAGGAAGGACTTCAAACACCAAGATTACTTCTACTTAATTCCTGGTGTTATCAAGAAAAAAGCTACACTTATTTTCTCAGATGTAACTATAATTCAATGTGGAAGTGACATTCAGATCCAAAGTCCCTGCATCTATGGTGTATTTGAATCCTACCAATCTACATCTGAGTTAACGATTCTGTACCCACTTGATGCTCTCCACCTTTTAAGAATTTTTTCCACTGGCTTGTATATGATTGTATCATTCCAACACAATTCTAATGCTCCAGGATACAAATCAATATGGCTGTGTAGTTTACCCTAGTTTTAGAAACACAACAAGTCATCTATCTCTAAGAATTTCACATTTTTTCTGCATTTCAACAGAAAGTTTAATACAAGCTAATGTGGACACATATCCATTGTAACACAGATAATGCATAATCATTTAAGAGGAAAGTTGCCGTATTAAAGCATTAAATCAGGAAAGAAAAAATGTTTATCTAAACCAATCTACTCTCTGACCAGTTTTGGTTGGTTTAGGGTTTTTTTGTAAAGCACAAAATAGTGTCTTGTCTGAGGGCACTAGTAAGATTTCATCTGATAAGAAAGTTTAAAATTAGTGAGTTAACTTAAAAAGAAAATTGGCGAAGTACAGAATAACACTAGTAAACCAGTGACACCACTAACATCACTGTTACTATGTAAGTACTGAAATGTGCATTTTAAAATTCTCAAAAAGAGAAAATACATTCATCTTCAACTGCACAACATATCCTAACAACCTGTTTAAGATATTTAAGAGTGCTCAGACCACTAGTTCCTCCCCTCCTCCGATCTTTGGCAGCAGGGGATCTAAAAGATACTAAGATCAGGTTATTCAAAGAGACTACCCTTTTTCATTGGGTCTGTGCAACATAGAAAGGAATACGAGAATTATGGCAATTATAATTTTACTGCTTGCCCACTTCAAAAGAAACCTTAACAGATTTTCGTGCCATCCCATCGCTGACATGAATCACTTTTCAGATCCTATACACCTTTCCTGGAAGTTATTACTCCTAAAGAGATGTAATAAATTTTTTTTTAGTAGTTCTACTTGACTTTTCTTCACTATGAAATAGGCACATATATTACTAAAATTAAAAATGTCTGAGTACCCAAAGAATTTGTACAGACTAAGTGGAGCAAATAATGTCACTAGGAAGACCCTTCAAGGAGAAACATAAGACTAGGTACAATTAAGAAAGTCCTGCACTATGATATTCTCTTTGCCACTGTAAAGTTTCTGTTGATGTGAATGAACACAGTACAGCAACATGGCAGAAATAAGCTTTTACCATTTTTGTTCAAATAAACAGCTTCAAATTTAAAAAAGTATCCTGCCTTTACGACTTTTAGATCAGTCATCTACACAAGTCAATGGCCTCACAGTACATGCTTACTTGTGAAAGCTCAGCACCTGAAAGGACAACATGACTAATGTAAAATTCACAGAATAAACAATAGCTGTCAACAGGGGGGAAAAAAGATCCTTTCATTGCCTGAATTAACAACAAAAATTGTCCTAGTTACTCTTGACTCCTGATACTCTGAATACGTTTTTAATTTATATTTCCTCAACTCCCTTTATCAAGAGACAAAAAGTCACCTTAGTAACATGTTAAGTTTAAACACACTACTGAAAATAAGAAAAATTAAATTTGTTATCCATTTTTACCAGCTTCAGATCAAACGACCCAAAGATTTGAGTTAGAGGAACATGACCTAGGAAAATGCGTACTTTTGAGCGTTGACCAGCATAAAAGTATCCTTGAATGCCATCAAAACCGCTGTCATTGTATTTTGAGAGTTCTGCAATAAATTGGCTTATTTTATAAATACCTTCTACAGACAGTTTATTTGATAATTTTCCAACTGTGCTTAAGTAATTCCTGTGCATGCCACACTACAGGCTTGATTATAGCGTTCCCGTCTTGCTTTATTCAGGGTAAGAGTACCTTAACTTCATAAATAGTTATTTAAATCACTGAAATGGCTTGAAGAATGGTATAGTACTCTACTTAAGCAAAGGAATTTAACAGAATCTACTCCCTTGAGTTTGTAATAACAACATGAAGCACTACAAATAAAAATGAAAGTGTACCAATATTTCACAGAAAAAGGCTTCAGCAAAGAAATCATGTCCTTAGAGCAAATGAAGACTATGTTTTGTCTTTGTAATCTTTAGAGATGTAGCATTCTGTCATTCTCTCTTACACAGTACTGTGTAAGGTCAGAATCACGGGCTGTTTGAAAAGGTAATAAATACATCAAAGAAGTTATTAATGCACAAGTTTTTCAAGTAAATGCATATGCCAAATATTGTATTGCCTGCAAAGCTACCTGAACTATTTGTCAATATATGTATTATGCAAATAGCAGATCAGCTTTCTTCCATTGCTAGAATTGACACCTTTCATCACTAGAGCAAGCTTTAACAGGCATAAGCCAGAACTGCTGCCCAGATCTCTGGCAGTCCAAAAAATGTTGACATTCACTCCCAATCTCACTCTTCCTTTTGCATCAGCAAAAATTCCATGACACTACAGTGAACCACATCAAAGAACGGATCTGGATCACAGGACAGCTCCTTTCAGTGCACGTGCTGTTTACGGCTGCTTAACCTACAAAACTAAGTCCCTTCCAAATTTCTAAATATGGCTATTCTGGTCATTATTTGCAAATTACATTAATAAAATAAGAAATGGAAAAGTTCTAGCTGTAAACACAATGCAACTGAAGACTGTACAACAAATTTTTATTCTACAAAAATAAAATACTTGTTAGAAATTGATGGTGTAACACATATGTACAGTAGCCAATTTATTAATGCTTAAAAGATATTAACAAAGATGAAAAAAATCAGTAAATCACACATTGCTTTATACCACTACCAACCAAATTGTTTAACACCTCTCACCTGGTAATTTACCTAAAGCTTCATACTATGAGCAATTTAGCATGCTGCCAGTCCCAGTTTAGAAGAAAAACAGATTAACTTTCACTTTTAAATCGGCAATTAACAAAATGTTTGAAAAGTAAAAGCTACTGCCAATATGTGTTTGATTCTGGGTATTTATGTGGTCTATGACTTAAGCATTTTGAAACTGCACAGATTAAAATCCCTTAAGTTCATAGAATATCCTCATGGCTACTTTGTGCTTTTGGACTTTCACACAACCATCTCTGCCTGACCAGACTACTACCAGTAAGTGGTGCAGCAGCATCAGTCAAGTTTTTTGAACCAGTGTCTGGCCATGAAGGTACTTTTACCTTGAACATTGTTCATCTCATCTCCTGAGACACGTTTTGGTAATACACACATAAGCAAGGTCTATTAAAAGGCAATAGTTATTTAATGCATACCTTGCTACATCCTAATGACTACTACTCGCACAGCAGATAAAGAATAATTCATTAAAGTCCATGCTTTCAAAGGGCTCCCTTCATTAAGCTGACAGTTTGTTTACTATCCAAAATAAAAAGTCCCTGTAATTGAAAAAATGAATCATGACACAGCATGAAAAAATACCCTACCTCCCAGAGGAAGAGGACAACACAGGCATGCGTAACTTGCTTCTACGTTCAAAGGCATGCTTATGACACGTGACATTCTCATACTTTCATCCCTTTGGGGGAAGCAGAAGGGGAATTAAAACTTGCATGTTAATGCTTTAATGTTAAAGATCAAAATTCTAATCTGAGCTAAAAATGTTTCTTCTACCAAAGGGGCATTAATGAAACAGAATCTACCCTTGGATCTTATGCAAGAGAAAAAACAACCTTCTCAAAACTGAGTGAAAAGATGCTTTCAGACACGTATTTTAACAAATGCTATGTTGAAAGAAGTTGGTGAAATGCACTTGAGTGGAACAAACTGAGAATCTGACATCACTCTATAGACAAATCTTTCACCACCAATTTAGAGAATACACAAGCAGCAAAGTAGGTGAAACAGGAGAGAACAGAACTACTAATTTACCTAAGCAGCCAATTCATCTCAAAGATTTAGTAAGAGGTTCTACTTCAAGGTTAAGCCATCAAAAGACAAAGCCCCCCCCCTTATTTCTGTTAAAAAAAAAAAAAGAAGTAGGTTTAAGACCAACAACAGCTTTTTACTTTTCGTGCAACACTAAAAAGAAATAACCACAAAGTACTTGAATGCTACCACTAGCTATCCAGAATACCAAATTTGTTACAAAATAAGACAATGCAATGTTTGCTTTAGTTTTGGCTTCATGCATATCTGCATTTTAAAAAGTAAGCTAAAATCCTACTGTATACTCTTACAGTATATCATGTTCCACCTTCTAGAAGTAGTAAGAACACTGTAACAATGAGCATGAGAAAGTAAATATAAGCTTGACAGCATTGCAGTGAAGGAAGTTTTTGTTATCTCACTACCTATAGAAGGTGAAAGGAAATTTTTTACCCTAGTTTGATTTCAGTTTTATTGAACTGTCTACAATATTCTGTGAGTGCATGCACATACACAGGCACGCACAGAAAAAGTGGTATCTACAAACAGTTTACACAAATATTTACATACATATTATTTACATAAACTAATACCACTGCATGATTTTCAATGTAAAAACCATATGCTTCTTGAACATATAACTGTTGCATTGGTCTTACAGAAGTAATATAAACCTTTTGCAACAACTAAGAACATATCATAGCTGATTCCAAGTTTTTAGAGCTTGCAGTTTTTAAAAAAATACAATACCTAGAACACTGTTATCAAACAAATATGCTTTATTGGCATCTAAAAACAAAATGCACCCAACATTAAAATGTAATTTTTCATTTTGTTTTTTAAACCCACTGCAGTACGAGGAACAAATCACAAACACTTACTTTAGAGAAAACAGAGACTATAGTGTCGATTTTACAAAATCACTTTTAATCTCTGTATTATGCTCCTTTAATAACATGGGCCATTCCTTTTTCTGCCGAATTGTAGGAACATAAAATATCCCAGCTTTGTCTATACTTTAAAATTCTGCAGCAGCCTAAAAACACGGACAAGATACACCAGCACCTGTTTTCAAGTATAACAATTTCAACAGCCAACCTAAGGGTAGTATCTAAAAAATTCCATTTTCTTCCATAGGAAGTCTTTGTTTGACAAGCTGTTATTTTAACTTTGTGAAATTAAAAGCAAGTGGGGGCAAGTTTATGCTTTACCAGAGAAATAATAAAAAAAAAAAAAGTTTACCTACCATGTTCAAATTAAGAACAGTGTTCTATACAAGTCAGTTGTACAGTTATTTAAGTGAAAGATGAACATGAACATCAGATTAACTTAAGTCTGGCAGACAAAAGTGAACTGCTACGGTCCAGTCAGCCATTTATCTATTACAGAGAGATGACAACTTTACAAAAGGTATCTTTTACCTACTGAGTGATGATTATGTCCCCTCAGTTTCTGTGCTTTCTACCACTGGTTCACTCTCTATATCAGCTTCTGTGTCACTCTTCTCTTTGTTTATCTCGACGGAAGATGTCAGTTTTTCATAAAGTTCAGGATCATCCTGCACCTGTGCAGTTGGTGGCTGACTTTCTGTCTCTGTATTTTCACCATTTACCTGGGGCAGATTTTCAACTTTGCGCTGGGAAGTGGCCCCATCAAAATATTCAAAAACCCTTGGATGTGGAGGAGGGATCCAGTTGTTTGACATTCTGTCTCTTCCAAACCTGTTCCCATTAACTTCTCTGCAAAAATTAAAATCTCTGTCATCCCTATCCCTCTGTCTTTCCCAGGGTCTTCTGCGGTCATCAAAATCTCTGTGAGCATCCTGTTCAAATCCTCTATTCCAACTGGGACCACTTCTACTATCAAATCTATAGTTTACATGCCGAAACCTCTCTCTGTCTTCATGGAAGCCTTTAGGGCCACCATAAATAGGGAAGGCATGGTGCTCTCTTTCATCATAATCTCCTCTCTGTCCCCAGTGCTTGTCTGAATTGAAACCAAAATGCTCTCTTCGACCAAGGTTATCAATCCCTGGCCTTCCAAAATTTTCTCTCATTTCTACATGTGGTCTTGCAAAGTGTTCTCTTCCATCTAGTGGAGGCCTTCCTACACTCTCTCTTGGATCAACTGGTGGTCGCCCAACAGAATCTCTGACATCCACTGGAGAAGGCCTGTTAAGATTATCTCTGTTTTCCACTGGAGGAAAGCGATAATCTCTGTCTCCTTCCTGCTGAATGTTATCACCTCCAAGTGGCAGTCTTTTCTCTGGATTAGAAATGTTGTCGATATTTTGTCTTCCTGGTGTTCCAAAAGGTCTTTCTGTTTGATTAAAAATATCTCCTGGAGGAAAAGGACCTCGAGGTGGCGGGTGAAGAGATGGATCAAGGATTGCTGGAGGAGGAATACTACGCTGCGGTGGCATTCCTGGCTGCATTAATGGAAACCTTGGTCCAGGTGAATGGGGCATTAGGCCTGGACGGATATCTATAAGAGGTATTCCTGGCATCCTTTGACTACTAATATTTAAATGAGGCATATTTGGAACTCCAGCTGGATGTTGCATTGCCAGAAGTCCAGAACTATTTGAAATATTTGGTGGTGGCACACCCATCGGTCCAGAACTACTTGAAACATTGGGTGGTGGCATTATGAGAAGCCCAGAGTTGCTAGAGACACTCGGTGGCTGTACTCCTGTCAGAACTCCTGAGCTGCTTGAGACACTGGGTGGCTGCATTCCTGTCAAAAGGCCAGGGCTGCTTGAGACACTGGGTGGATGCACTCCTGCTATAAGCCCTGAGCTACTTGAGACATTTGGTGGTTGCACTCCAGCCATAAGTCCAGAGCTACTTGAGACGCTGGTTGGCTGAACTCCGCCGGCAAGAGAAGAGCTACTGGAGACAGCTGGCAGCTGCACTCCTCCTGCAAGACCAGAACTGCTTGAAACAGTTGGTGGTTGCACTCCTCCTACAAGTCCAGAGCTGCTTGAAACACTGGGTGGCTGTACTCCTCCTGCAAGTCCAGAGCTACTTGAGACACTGGGTGGTTGTCCTTCTCCAGTAAGGCCAGAACTGCTTGAGACACTGCATGGCTGCACTCCTCCAACAAGTCCAGAGCTACTCGAAACATCATTTTGCACTAAAATGCAGCAACAAGAAGAAGAGTTAAAAAAATGCCAGTGTAACACATAGAATCCAAAACAAAACACAGCTTGATCCATATTCAGTCAGTGCATTCAGCGAGGATACTCCTGACAAGGTCTCTATCCCAGTTTCTATAGTGAACATATGTGACTTTAATCACATTGGTGATAAATGGACATTATGATACAGAAATTAAAGTCTCTACATATTAAAGACTGTAGAGCTGCTTAATATCCACAAACCCCACAGCCATCACCCAGTTTATGCAAGGCAAGTATTAAAATTTTTGGTGTAAAGCTATAAATGTCATGCTGTCCTACCCTCTCCTGCTCCTTTCAATTGCCACTTGCATAGTAGGAATGCACTTTTAAGAAGTTTTCTAAAGGGCTCTCAATCTCAGCTTTAATTCTTGAGTGTACAAAGAAAACAACTCTGAGTATAAGCTGCTAGAAATCAATGATCAGATGATGACAAAGATGGTTCCCACCACTCCTCCAACTTTAACTGAAAATCATACCTAGCCTAAAACTTCCTACTCTATAGTTATTAGTGCAATGGACTACAATTGCGAAGAAACACCTTAGAACCATGTTTCCTGTATGTGGTCATATCAGACAATAGAAGACATTTCTTACCAGATCTATTGTTTTCACTGGAAGAAATCTGAAGGTCTGCAAGATGTGATCCCTTTTCATCTGATTCTGGTTTGTTGATTGGCAGAGGATTAAAAACATTTCCAGCAGATAATGTTGGAGTAGCTAGATTGCTAGTTACTGTGCCAACTGGTAGAACAAGGCTAGTAAAAGGAACATCCTTCATCGTCTCTTGTGCAATTGGTAATGGAGGCTGTACCAAAGCTGCAGAAAAATAACAGAGGTGTATCACAGTAATCATATACTCAAGCCTTCAAGATTAGCTTGGCAAAGGTCAGGCTGATGCATCAAAATAAGTCAAATTAATTACCCTAAGTAACACTTTTTTGATAATAATTTCTTATCCTCAATAAACACTTTAATATTTAATTTTTTTTGTAGAGACCATGAACTGCAGGCAACCTAAGTAATATTACAGATAGTTTTAAATGTTAAATGAATACATTTAGTTAAAAGGCTAAAAAAATTAATTATTATAAATTATTCATTGACTAGCATCAAACAGATCAAGAGCAGTTACATCTTTTACAGACAGGTTCAAATATAACTTGTCTTTCTCCACTTGAACTCCAGGGTAAGTATCATTTTGCCATTAACTTGAAAAGCTCTGTAAATCTTTTTCTCAATACCTGCTTATACCAGCTAAACACTAAGTTTTGTGTTGATATTTTCCATTACATAGGATTATCTTGCTTTTGATTAAATAACAAGCAGTATATTAAAAAAATGAGCTTTTCATAACACAAACAATTATTAGAAGACTCAAACTTACGTGTTGGAACAACTGGTGGAACAACAGGTGGTGGGACAACAGGCGGTGGAACCACAGGTGGAACTGGGGGAGGCATATAACCTAAATGGAAAAAAATGACAAACTATTACAAGGAAAGCAAAAAAAGTTTTGCAGTAAAAGCTTGCCCATATTATTCACCCCAGAAAGCTGCATCACTGAAGAATAGTAAATAACAAATGTATGGGAAGAAATGTATGCCTCCTGCTTTCAAAAGCAACCCACTCTTCACTAAAGATGATTCGCATGTCCATCTTTAGAAGTTATCTCTGCCAGCAGTATCCAAAGAAGAAAATTAAAGAGTGTCAAAATTTTCAAAAGAAAGATTGATCTTAAAGATTTTTAAATTTACATTTTTATTAAAGTTATATAAAAAAAAATTGTGTAATTCCTATTCTCAACAGAATAATTACTAAGGTAAAAATAATACCAAGTTAGACATAAATAATTTTAACCTAGTTTGAAACCTAAGGTTCAAAGGTCAACTGGCTTAAAGAGTAACCAGTAGCTGATGGAAAACTATACAAAGCATAATATATATGGAAGCACACAAACTAAGTATACTCATTGCATACTCAACTTCACATTTACTAACTTACCCGGAGGTGGCTGTGAAGGGTTGAAACTTGCACGCAAGAAGGGTGGAGGAGGAATTGCGCTATAACCAGGAGGAGGGACAGACATTGTGACAGGAAATGCGGGTGGAACCAAGCTAACAGCAGGCACAGCTGGAGCTACCGGAATCTTTTTTCATGGAAAGAAAAAACAAGCAATTTCAATACTTACTATAAAGAGGAAAACTGATTTGATTGCTATTCATGTTAAATTCTACATGTACCAAAGGCTCTCTATATATTCTGAACACCCTGAAGAATTAGACTGCATTTTTAAATGAAACCTACACTACAGTTAAACAAGGACACTGGAAGAATTCTACGCTTATCTTTTCTTTATTCTAAAAAGAACAGAAAAATACGTGGATAAACACTACATTTATTCATGAATAAAAATGTATCTGTGGGAGGGAGGTGAATAGAGAAAGGGGGAGAGTTAAAAGGAAGGAAAATTTAGATAGTTTGGCAATTCGAGAACACTTAGAAAACAGTAATTTCATTCTCACTAGAAACATTTACATATTTTAGAACAGTACTGGAAATTTGAGTTTAGTGTATGTAATTATAATGCTATCAATCCTGATGAAATCCTTAAAAGTATTTAATATTTCTCAAACTTCTGTTTGAGGTAAGTGTTTTGGTACAGTGCAGCATAATCAAAAGTAATTAGGAGCAGAATAAAACCAATGCACATATATTTAAATATATACTGATCACAGTGTAGACTAGGAGGCAGTTGAAATAAGACTGAAGACAACTTTTTGTGACAAGAAGAAAGTTCGAAATTCAATGCAAGTAAATGCAAATATGTTAACTTTCACAGTAACTACATCAGCTCAAGTATTGGAAATGTCCATACATATTAGGAAAGGTAAAAGTAATAATACAAATACAAAAAATTTTGCATTAAGCAACTCCTCATTTTCATTGCCACTGAAAATGAGATTTTCATATGGTCATTCTAAAAAACGATTTAAAGAGTTTTACAGAAATTATCTGTACTTATACTTGATCAATATCTGTACTTTTGTATACTCATACAAATTAACACTATATTATTCCAGCCTTCCACAATACCTTGCTACCAAATGGATGCTAATACAAATTCCCTGGTTTACCAGAAGCAAAACAAATACAGCAAAGAACCAAAACCTCATGAATTACTGCCTAAGGAGTGCAACAGCACACTACCTGAATAATTGGATCTTTTATAGATGAGACTGCCCTTATGAAATCCTGTCCAAAATTATTGAAAAAGATAATTACACTTACAGTCAAAGCTGATACGGGGAAAAGCACATAGGTAGAGAAAAAACAAGCACAAGCGGAAAAAAAAATTCATTGCTTAGCTTGCAGAGAGATGCTTTGCTTTAAGGAAAATACTTTCTGTAAGCTCATTTTAATTTGTCCTTAAAAAAATGACATGCCAGTATTTGCTCTGCGGCTTGTCTGAGGGGAGGTTGGTTGTTTTGGCTTTTTTTACATTTCGGGGTTTTTTATTGTTGTTGTTTTTTTGTTGTTCTTGGGAATTTTTGTGTGGTTCGGTTTGGTTTGTTTTTTTTCCAATTGATCTGTCTTGAACATTTAAACCTTCATTTGAGATTGTACATGTTTGGGATATGTTGTGCATGAAACTAGGGAGTTTGCTGAACCACGACAACTGATTCTACTCTTAAAATATTTCATGGATAAACACATATGGACACAGGACCTAGGTATATTTGGCTGAAGTACTCTAACGCAGCATTAAAGTTTATATATATGGAACAAAAAAGTTTGTCCTTCAGTTCTGTGGATTTTCTGCATACTCAGACCAATACAAACCTGCAGCATAGTGACTGGTTGCGTGTAAGCTTCTGTCTGTGTTGTAATAACTGTATTCTTATCAACTGCAGCACTCTGTGTAGTTTGAGTATTTTCTTTAGCAGCTTCTGAGCTTCTGGCTGTTTCCCATTCTGGAAAAAAAAAAAAAAATGTATATTTGAAACATATTTTTTTGTGTGTCATTTGTATTTAAATAGTAAAAAGCCTCCTTCCTTCTAAAGAAAATTTTATCTGGTATTTGTACAGATACATGGCAAATAACCACCAAGCTATGGAAAGAAGGAAGTGCAATTATTTATTACTATATAAAGAATGTAAAACATCTTTAATCACCTGTGATACCATTCAATTCTGCCTGTATACAAACTGATTTTTCAACACTTACCAAGTTTTTTCACCAATCATTTTGTTAATATATTTTAACGTAGGGTATGCTCCAGTTTTTTACAAACTGCTGTTGTCAACACATCTGTGTTATCAGCTACTGTACAATGACAGAGCACCCTCATGTTGAACAAACCTCACCCCAACCCCCACTTCTTCTTTCTGTAACTTCCTCAGAAAGTTTTGTATGTCAAGGACCACATAGTGAATGCATTTCAGTAATGTTCTATGTTTTAATTTTTCTGTTATTTATATTCAATTTTTACTTGAAGCATGACTGCATTATGACTTGAAAAATTACTGTCACTGTTATAAACAGTTTTGATCTACTGTTTACTTCAGTATAGTCCAGTCATTCGGTGCTAGATCTGCTTCAAGAAAACACAGTACTTGTGAATCTTTTACAAATCTCACAGGCCTCTCGACTGGGTTTTAGACTAAGTTCTATCATCGCTTGCTTTCCTGTCTCTTTGATTTCATGGAGGAAATACCTCAAGGTTCAGATAAGCTATGCCTATTTGGATGTTTTCCAACTCAATCTTAAACTTTATACCTAAATATAGAACATTTCACAATCACAAGCAGATTATAATTCTGCACAAATTAATTTGAAAACTAGTGCACAGAAAATTCATAACTTTTAAAAATGCCAACCTTTATTAACTTGCCTAAATTAATTTGCTTTTGTCACTAATACTTCATTGTCTCGACAATCAACTAGGTATGCACCTACAAACATCATCTACGTTTCATAATTAGTGCCATTTATATGTAGCAAGTAAAATTTATGTACATTGAAAAAGAGCATGCAATACCTAAACAACAAACTTTGTGAGGACTTGCAATTACCAAAATAAAGACATTTGCTAACTATCACAATCGTTAGTAGTGTCCATACCTGTATTTACTGTTTCCTGGTCAATCATGCCACCTTCAGCAAAGCCCTCCAAATCATCTAATTTTACTTTCTCCCAAGGAATATATGAAACTCCCAGATCCACATCCCAGAACTGCTTGTATTCTGTTTTCACACCTTTATTCAAAGCCCAGGCAATCTGAAAATAAGTCCCAAACAGATAATCCCATTAAATCATATAACCCATGAACAAAATATTTCAGATAATTTCCTTCACGTTTCTGTCACTGCAGATCAACCTTCCGTGTCTATTTATTAAAGTTTTAATAAGGTTTTAATTTTAAATGAACCTGTAGGAAGATTTCTTGGCCTTTGCAACAGTTATGTGGAAGATTAATTACATCTAACAGCTCAAATCTGTTCTACATTAATTCTGACATATATTTGGGGAAATCAAAAATACAGTATTTAAGGACTCATCCTAACATATCAAAGAACACAGAAAAAACCCACAACATTTAATCATATACTTAACTCTAAGAATACTATCAAATGCAATATTAAGCGATCCACAAAAACAGGTAAAGGACTTAGGTTGTTTACAGTCCTGTACTCCTATCACTAGCACGTACATAAAACACTAACCAAGCACTTCCTAAGTATCAAGCAATCATTTCACTTTACTTTCAAATCATCTCTTAGAAGCTGCATTTTACACAAAGAGGAAAGAAAACAATTTACACCTTATTGTTTCATTACTCTTCTTCATATTGCACATTTGAATAAACCACTGCTACATGACAAATTATCATATTAAAACTGGATTGGAAAGGGATGACATTCTTAGATTAAAATCAACTTACCTTAATAATTTTAGATCCAATTTTATAGGACCCAGAACTAAGTTTCTGAAGAGCACGATATGCATCTTGTCTATGAACCATACAGACATAAGCACACCCTCTTGGGGGAATCATCTATGGAAAAAAAGCAATGGTCTTAAAAAGTAGGAGAACCAGTACTTCAGATTATGTAACTACACTAAGTGCATCCTAATACTAAAACAGGGAAAGCTTACATTGAAAACAATTGTTAGCTTAATCAGCAATATTAACAATTTTGAGCAGCAAAAATAAGGAATGATATTGGCAGAGAACTTCATTTACAACACTGTCAAGCAGCAGTAGCAAGCTGAAGAATGGGTGCTAAAAATTATGTGAAAGATGTGAATAACATGGAGTAGGCAAAAACTGTGAGCTCTACTATGACAACTTCAGAAAATCAGAGGTTGATACCTCTTAAGCTCCATATCCACTGTAAGCTGAACGACAACCTTCAACAGAGGCGCAAACTAGTGAGTAAAACTATGTTGCACTTTTGAAAGTTGAAGTTCTCCTTCCTTAAGTGTGATTTCCACTAATTTTAATGTTTTATTTAGGAAAGAAAAGTATGATGCAGCATGTAATCTTTGAAAGTTTGCAAATCATGTATAACAATTGCTTATTTTAGTCCAAAATATAGGTGTGCTTAGGAGCACACAGTAATGTGATGAACAAAAATATTTAAAATGACAGCCTTTAATACAGTTCTCATGAAAAATACGTTTAAAATTTACAACATCATCCCAAGTACTTAAAGCTTTGTGGAACATGTAGGATGAACTATTTACGATACGGTTTGCCTCTGAAATCTAACAGGCATTGGGATATCATGATTGTTACATTACTTTCCTTTTAAATTTCTTAATTGCTAGCTCCTGAAAATCAAAATGATGCTTAAATGTCAGGCTACTGGGGTGTTTTGGACTTGTGAAGCTTTTTAAAAGATTCTGTAATGCCACAAAACTATTCCTTATTATCTATATAGTTGAATATATTAACATAATAGGAAAAATACTAGAAATATTATCTGACATGAATGAAATTGTATGAGAAGAATTTTAAAACTACTGGAGCAACAGACAAAAATCCAAATGTCTCTCATGCAGATGTGTTACATTAGGAGAAAAATACTTTCTCTTGAAGCTGAATTACACGCAACACTAAAATACAACTCTGAACAGCTAAATCTAAATTACTCTGAATCATGAGAAATGTATCTCCTAATTATAAGCAACAGTTTAACTGTCACATTTTAGAATAAACACTTGTTTACAATACAATTTATTTCTTTCTAAATGTTCATCTACATTCATTCTACCTTAGGAAGCTTCTGTATGACACGTAACCAAGAATAATGTGCATACACATCAGCTTGTGTCCATTAGTCCAAGGAAGAATGATACCTGACCTCTGCCATATCACAAAAAAGAGAAAAGATGTAACTTTTTAGTTGTTTGGATGCTGGTTTAACCCCTGTGTAAACTGTTAGTCCTTGGGAAAAGCCATTTTATCAGGAAGCATACTGTCTGTAACGCTTCAAAAGGCAGTACATGGAAACCAATAATCAAATATCATAGACACAGCTTCTAAAGTCATTAAAAAATCTCCCAAATACAAGCTTAAGCTGCTAAAAGGAATTCAGAGGCATAAACATATTTAAGTTACAAGTCCATAATTCCTGAAAATGCATGATAACATGCTTACTTACATTAATTGACTCTATTTGTCCAAATTCTTCAAATAAGTTAGTTAAATCTTGCTGTGTAGCCTTCTTGTCTACTTGACCTACCCAAAGAGTGGTACTGCAAACTGTCAAGAGACACATTACTGTCAATACAACTATTAGAATGTTAGCTTATAAAATACTCTATAGCATGGATATAAAGGGCTTTACAGTTACACAGAAATCACTGATCAAAAGGTAAGAACAGTAGATCTGTTTTTTACTATACAGAGTTTAAGTACATTAACAAAAATGTTAAAGGGTTAAAAGACACCAAACAAATATTCAGTACAAGTGTCCACTCTTGTTTCATTTTCTTTCAAAGAAAATAGTTGTTTTGAAAGAAATTAGAAAAAATCTGTAGATTATTAAACTGCAATAGAAATCACTTAGGAAAAAAAATATTCCATGTTCCATAAAAAACATGCCTCTAGGATATAAAGACAGTTCTAAAGAAGAACGACTAAGTTCTAACTGGCTAGAAGTGTATTATGGAAGAAACTTAATTGCAGTATGACTCACTGCATTTTCACATGAAAGAAACAGAAACTATATTTTTACTTTACCTGTGGGAACATCCCAGAAACACAAACTTGGATGAGGCCCACCACTGAGCTGAAGATATCCTTGATGCTTCCGACTCCTGTCAATTCCACCACTAGCCCAGATCCCTGTAATCTGTCTCCCAAAAGCCTACCCTTTGTCCTCCTTGTCAAATATAAATACTCACGGACACGTGAGCTAAACCTTCCTTCTCCTGTATCGTATATGTTTGCAACCATTTTGTCTCCAAAATATTTCCCAACCTATTTGGGCAAGCCTTGAAACATTCACAGCACTTGACTCCACTTAAAAGAGTTATCTGATTAGGCTAATATTGGTGGTTTTCCTCAACCACCAATTACTCTAACTGGTGAGTAATTCAGCTGAGTAATCCACCCAGGACCTTCCAAGAATTGAAGGCAGAACAAAACCAGAGAACCTGGATCTCTTGGGCTACCTTATCTTAAACCAAGGAAATATTCTGTCTTCATCATCATCTTGATATGTCACACATCCTTCCTGTACCAATCTTGCAGCACCCAACTGAAAAGAAGTCTTGTGCGTTCCTGCATCAGCTAACACTTTCAATAGACAGCAGTACTCAGCAGTACTGCAAAAGACTAGCCTTAAGATTTCTCTTGGACAAAACTTGTTCCTCCCATGCTTGTAGATGGCCCTGTTGTTTCTCAGGGTGTTAAGCTCTATGAAATAATTCTTCAGACCTCATCAAGTGGTAACAGTGGCTGTCAATGAACAAATTTTACGAAGCAAAACACTTGTCACGTTAATTACCTATTCATTTATTTATTTACCCCCACCACAACCTCCAGCAAAGTTTCCATACTTCAGCCTTCTTAATATCTCCTTTCAACAAGCCAGGTCGCTTCATGGGACCTCAACTGCTGCTGATTGTCATCAGGTCACTTAACATCACTGCCTCCCAGCTCCCATCCATTCTGATTATAGTCCCCTGCTCTGTGGGCTGCTGGGAGAAGTCTACATTATAAAACTGATTTGTCTCTTTTCATGTGAAGAGCCAGAGGAAAAAAAAAAACAAAGTCACTCATCTAAACTATAACACAGGTCTGAATTTAAAGTTACCCTGGAATGATGTAAAATATCAATGTGAAGAGAACAGAACAGTCTTTCCTTTGTACTAATGAATTTTGAACTTGTCAGATAAATGATACAGTGATATCAGCATACCAACTTTCAGACAAAGTGCGATCATCTTCAAATGCCTCACAGAAGACGGCATTAAAGAGAAAGCAGACTGCAACTTAGGGACAACCCATGCTACTCTCTGTTCAGAAGTAAAATCACTGGTGCAATACTATGCGTAAACTTGCTTTCCTCTAAGATGAAATGACATACCTAAGTTGTACAAAACATCAGAAGTGAAACTTACACAAGAGAATATGGTTACTATATTTTTTAAGAGTACTCAAGCTAAATTTTATTTTTTCAATGAAAAAAAAGCCTTTGCTCCCTTTAATACTAGATTATTAAAAGAGTAAGCAGCTGCTACTCACCACTTAGTGTTTTTGACCGTATAGGAGGCAAACCCTTTTTCTGACGTTCTTTTTCCCTTTCCCTAGCCCTTCTCTCACTGGAATATGACCGAGATGACTTTCTCTTCCTTTCTCTTGATCTTGAGCGTGAACGTTTTCTGTGTTTACGCTTACGAGAACCAGACCGTGATCTTGACCTTCGTTTTCTTGGTGACCTACAAAATACTTAATTTCAGTACGCTGAGTTAAAAAGAAAATTTTTTTAAAAACTTAGTTATCTTCTAACTATAAACTTTAAGCATGATACAGACATTTCTGTTATGTTCAGTAAAACTGCTTCAGGAAATCAGCTTAATGTCATTAGTGTGAGAACTAGAAAATGTTCCATAACAGTATTTCTCTGGTATAGAAAACCTGTCCAGCTGGCTAGTGTAAGTTATTTTTGTCACCTGAATAAGTCTTAAAAAATTTAAAGTAAAACACAGATATGAAAAATGAACTCATACAGAAAGTCTGCATCTAACACACAAATATTAAATGAACACATATTTTTAATTTCCAAAAAATGCTCATTGAAATTTTGGAAAATACAGAATTAAGACTGATAAACACAACTTGAAACTTTGATTCAAAAAAACCCTTCATTTTATGTAATACAAGTTAATCATGAAACCTTGAACGAGATCTTGAGCGAGTTCTCGATCTTGAACGAACAGCTGATTTCTTTTCTTCTTGTTCAAAAATCTCTTCTTCAACAACATCCTGTCCTTCATCTATATCCATGTCCTGAGATTAAACATAACAGTTGTTCAATAACATTTAATAAATATACTCACAGTATATACGACTATATGAAAGCATACGTTTTGAAATCATCTTAGTATGTATTTTCCTTCCAACTTCTGTAATCAAATTTGTAATAGTTTTACCTGTTGTTGAATATCCATTGAATCATCTACATTTGTTTCCACTTCTAAAAACTGCTGCTGACTACTCCCTTGTGATGGTGATGCAGAGTGCTCTGAACCAAAATTTCCTTCTTGATTCTCCTCAGGGCTTGCCTAAATAACAAATAATAATACACCATAAAAAGCCTCATAATTCAAAATGCTTATTGTGTCAAAATGGAACACTATATGAAACAATTGTTCAAATATCTCTGAAAAACTATTTAGCAAGTTTCTTTTATTTGCAATACCAATTTAACTAGTTCAAAACTACAACGTTCCTATAATGTGTGATTTCAGACAACTAATTACTACAAGAGAAAGGAAGATGTGTCATTTATGCCAACACGTCAAGTACAGGAGACCTAACAAAACAAGCAGTCTTAAGCAACCACCAAATTTAAAAATGTAAAATACTAAATGTGTTGTTGATTTGCTAGAGGAAAAGCTGTAAGGGCCTATACACTGGACTGAAAGCACAGATTTGGTATAAATATCTGTAGGATATTGAAAGATATTCAAGAAATGCAGATAATGCCGTGAAAGTATTCACAAATGCCATTACAAGTTTGAAAAATAATATTGGACTTATAATCCTGTAATATTGCAGGTAAACATTTCAGTGATTCACAGTACATTTTCATTTCAATTAAACAAATGCTGGGTATTCTATCTGCCAGAAGAATGGTAGAAATTTAGCAGAATGACATGCAGCACCAAGGTTTGTTTGCTTTACCTTCGTATTTTTTGAATAGCTTATATAATAACAGTCTGCAGAAAAATAAAAAATTCTGCTGTAATTCAGTTAATGCGTTTGCTTCTAAAATTGTCTCATTTTCCTTATATTTAATTATTCTTTAACAATCTGTTTCTCGGTATCAACTCCTACATTTCTTGTTGCTCCTTCTGTCTCTGTCCTCTGTCCTCTCCTCCTTTCCCTCTGCTTCTAATCAGATGTGTAATAATTTTGGTTTGTGTTTTATCTTTCCTTCTTTTTCCCTTAATCTTTCTCACTGATGCTTAAACATGAAATTAAAGAAAATTTTCCTCATAACACACTGCTGTCATTACAGCAGAAGTTTATATCTTTAGGCTGCTTTCAAGGTGAAAATAAACTTTGTACTAACTAGACAAGAAACTCAACAGAGTTGATCTGAATGGAAACAGATTCTGGACTTGTAATAGAGAATCAAATATTAAGAGGTGAGTCATACAAACACTGTACCCATAAATGCACTGTAACTTAATTGCATAGATGAAAGTAATGTAAACTATAATTCTGTTTATTTTACAGTAAGGTAGGCATTCAGCATTTTTATTTTCAAATTAGCTACTTTTAGGTACATCACATTAAAAGCTCCTAAACCAGATGCACTCTTCAGAGTTATATTGCTTTACAACATTTCAGCGTTTAAAGCCAGAAACTGTTAGACATCCATCAACATACAAAAAAGACATTTAATCTGTAGCTATGTTGTACAATTTGCCTCAGTAACTGTGCTTAAATGAAAAATGAAAACAAAACATACTACAACAAAGCGGCAGAATAAGAAAATACTTCCTAGAAAAAAAATTAAATTACTATTTTACTAAACTTAAAGTCACAAATTCAAAACTCAAATTATGTTCTTGACTGAAAGCTGAGCAAGTGCACTTTTCATACAGGTTAAACTAAAACCCCCAACAGACGTTTGTTCAGTTTGTGCTGCCTTAGATTTTCTTTCTGAGATTTTTATTTTACTGTGAAACTAGTTCCAAAACTTCACAGAAAGTCCACTTTATATCTGGTCGGTAGATATAAAGAGAGACAGAATAAACTTTCAGGGTCTTTTTTTTTTCTAATTGGGTCAGGCATTGGGATCAAGAAGGGAAAAAGGCAGCTAAATACCAAGGACAAACCTCAGAAGAAATAAGCCAGTTTACTTCAATGGAGAGAGAGGACCCAATTCACACAGTTAAGAAGGAATCTTTGGTTGTTTACAGCACCAGTTCTTAATTGATAATTTCTAAGGAAATTCATGACTCTATTCTTTAGCTCAGATTCTTCAACAAAATGAGACTTCAAGCTTGGTAGAGGAAACAAGTTATCCTCATTCTCTGTTCTGTCCTCTTTATGGCTCTGCAGCAGCAGTTTGCATGCTGCTCTCCCTTCACATCAGGGACATAATCATTCCAGTACTCACCACCTTCTTTCTGACAGCAGAGAAAAACCCTTCTTAAAGAGCTGAACACCTAAAGCACAATCAGCCTGTAACTTACCTAAAAGTTACTCTTTCCCAAGAGAAGCAAAATGTACACCCCAAACATTTGGTTGCATTTTTTCCCCTTACTTTAAGTACTTTCTTCTGATTACTCCACTTACTCTGTCAGCTTCTGTTGGATGATCAGCTAGCAACAAAGATTCCTATTGTAAGTGTCAGTAATAAGACAATTTTTTTCTTGTCCTGGAGTATGAGTTTTATCAGTGGAGACCATCATAATTAACAACGGCCACAAGATGGAGTTCTTACCTTTTGAGGCTGCTGTTGCTCCAGAAGCTGTTGTCTGAGGTGTTCTAAATTTTGTTGCTGTAGCTGTTCAGCTAGCTGGTGAAAAAGGGAGTTGTTCACAGATTCTGGTACTAAAGGCCTAAAATGAAATAATTTAAATAAAAAAAAAAATTAAAAGAAAAAAGTTTTTCTCTTGGTTTAAACAGTTGATAAACAGGTCTTCATAACTGAGTTTCAGTTTAACTAAAAATGTAAAATAATGAAGACAATGTAACTACTTCTACCTTCCGGTACCATCACCATTAACGCTATGAATTTAATTAACAAAGTAAAGAACACGCTAATTTCTAAGATGAAATCAACAAAAGTTCTGATACAAAGGCATTAAATATTTTTAGAATGTGTATGTTCCATAAATTTAGGAAATTGTCTTTTCCTACTGGTATAGTATACTTATGCTCAAAAAGAAACATTTTCCTTACTATTTAATCCTAATATTCAACTAGTGTCAGGCAGATTTTAGCATTTTCCATAAGAAACATAGCTTGATCTTACAGTTGAGAAGTGGGAGCTTCTTTTTTAGGCTCTTCATTTTGTTCAGATTCTTCCCCAAAGTCAAACCTGTCCATCAGCTTCTAGGAGAAAGCAAAGTAAGCATAATTGAGTACTCTTTATATGTCCTTTTATGTATATTTACTTTTCAAAAGAAAAATGCTCTTATTTCTGAAGTTGAAAAAAATAAAGAAGGATGGCAAATAACCTAAATAAAATCAAATGTCATACTGCTACTGCTATCAAACTCTTGAATGCATCAAATACCAAATTTTGTCCATGGCTTTCTTGTGCTCTGGCTGCAGTTACAAGCACAACCACATGTTCTTTCCATAGTAACAGCTAGTTTGGAGAAAGGCTTAAATAAAGATTAATTTTACGTAATGGTAACTTTAATTAGAAGAAATTACTACGAAGAGGCCAACTATTCAATCCTTTGGCAACCTGTAAACTGCTCTGCTCATATCAAAAGAAGACCTACAGCTTGATTACTTCGCAAAGAATTACTATTTTCACATACACGTGTCATTTAGACAACCTGAATTCCTTCAAATATACTGCTCCTTGACAACAGCTTCTCATATGGTCTGCAAAAATATCAAAGCAAGTAGTTATCATGAAAGAGGAATAAACCTCTAGAGGGATAAAAAGAAAGGTATCTGACAGGGAAAAAGAAAAACTTTGATAAATCTATTTTATCTGTAAAAATGTCTACAGTGCAGGTTCTGTTAAACTAAAAAAGTATGGTTTATTAGTTTTTAAATAGCCCAGGAGTATTTCAGGAGCATTTTACTTTCTTGAAGATAAGGCTGAAGAAGCATGAAGAAATACAAAAATATTATTTGCCACTGAGATGGGTTTTTTTCCAGTAACTATGTATTGACAGCGCAGTGCTATCAAACCCATCTGCATGCATCTTTACACCTTGAAAGTTTTCTGAAAAGCAGACTTAATACTGTACTACTATCACCCATAACTTCTTCTCAAACCCTGGGCTTAGAAGTTAAAAACAAAAGGATGAGAAAGTGGGGCAGTCATCTCAAAATACCAAGACAAAAACATCTCCAGTAACAAGCCATCATGATTCAGTAGCCCATTTTCTTTCTCGGAATACTCTAATCTCAATTACTGGAGTACAGCAAGAAGAACAAAGCATTAGCTAACTAGAGACTGAACAATCAAGAATTTTTAGAACCATTTTCCCAATGAAATAATCTTATATATATATATATATATATATGAAAGCAGGACCGAATATATCCTGAGAAAACAGCAGAAACATCCAGTTTGTCAATGACTTTCTTGTACAGGGGCAAAGCAACAAAACCAGATGTGATACTCTAGGCTATGTCTAGAGTAGATCGGATATCTAGATGGGATGATCATTTCCATCAATCACCTGACTATACTGCTGTTCACACAGCCATGGATAGTATTAGCTGCCAGGGTACCCTGCTGGATCCTGCTCCATTGTTAGCTTGTTTTCTGATAAAGACTAGAACCCCAAAGACTAAGCAACTGGATGTCTGGTACTCAAACAAACAGTCTAGTGTTGCTGTTCACTGCACTGTTCTGAACCCCTGGTTTTTGACACACCTCTAACAGTATCATCAACTGCAATTGATGCATTTTGTGTTAAATACAAAACTATTGCAAGCTCTTTAAAACACACACAAAAGCTCTAGAACTTCAGAGCATCCTGGAAGATCACTAAGAAAGACCTAGATTTGTCAGCAGGATATAAAGCATTCCCAAAACCTTCCTCTTAAAGAAATCTGGTTTACAGTTTTTATCTTATTTGGGCATGCTATTTGGATTTTGTCACTAGTTAATATACTCTTATATAATGCCTAGACTTAGACTCAGATATCCTCAAACCTCAGAAAAATAATATAGATATGATAACACCAAAGTTCTACTAAAAAAAAAAAAAAAGGCAGCCTAAGTAATCTTTGAGTGAAAGCCTCAGCAGACTAACACGACACAGATCATCAGTTCATTCAGAAAGATGCTACAGAACACTGAACACAAATTTGAGTTGTGTTATAATCTGACACTACTTGTATAATGCAGAACTGAGGTACAGATCACATACTATGAAAACAAGTTTTCAAGAACAAATCTACACTGTATGCCTACTGGAAGTTTGTATGTAAATTATCACACCGCCAGAAGAATTCCTTCCACAATACTTACCTTCTAAGTCCCAGAAATCAGAGTCACATAATAACAAGACTCCTACATACCATTACTAGCATCAGCTAACTGAATAGCATCAGCCGAACTCAAACAATGTATATAAACAACTCAGCAGAACGGCAATTCCTTCTGTTTTCTCCAGTTAAGTTGTCCAACATTCAAGACACCCACACCTATGAACATACCTATCCATGTAAATGCTGGAATTGAAGTCAGCAGAATAAACCCTAATACAATGCCGTATTATTCATTTTTGTATCTAAATACTGAGGCAGTCCCTATTAAGTAATGCTTTCATTTCCTGTTATTTTACTCTACTCAAGTTGATGGTTACAGCTGTGATACAGCATGAGTACAGGCCATTTTGCCCCTTACTTATTTTTACAGCTGCATTACTTTCATTAGTCATGACAACTCTTTATTATTTCACAGATTTGAGCTTAGCTGGACAAATTCAAGAAATAAAAGATAAATTGTGCTAAAACTTTTAACTCAGCACTTGTGAAGTTCTGAGCAGCTAACTGCCTGAAAAAGAGGTTATCTGGGTTATGGAAAAGAAAAGGGAGTTTTGCTTCTCTGACTTCCTTATTTTTATTATTTATTAATATTTATATGAATATTTATTCATTCCAGGATGATCCTACACATATTATCTACACACAAACTGTTTCTTCCAAAGATAATGGAACAAGATTTATTTAGTTATTTTTTAATCTTTGAATAGAAGTTCTTCCTTTTTTATTCTAATGATAGTATAGTATTACTACTGTATTTTCTAGCATGGTTATTGCTACCTGGCATTCAACTACATTAACCTTCTTAAATTCCTGCATTTTGTTGTTGGCTTTTTTTTCCTTTTTTTTTGATAAGCACATATGTTGCAACGCATACAAAGTTTCTTTACCTACAGAGTTGGTTTGGTACATTTTGACATCCTCTAAAAAGTGTCACAGAACTAGTTTTAAATACAGTCATATATTTATTTCTTCACTTACAATCACTTTGTGGCTAAGATCAAGGTTTTTTTGCATTTATAATATATGAAAATTACAAGTTTAATCACATTTTACTCTATTGGGAAAATCGCACAGATCATAAACACAGGAAAGGGAAGTATAAGACATGTTCAGTTCTCACTGTTGTGTTACAAAGGATGAAGAAAAAGATGTAACAATGGCTTAACTTCGCTAAATCACATCCACCTTCACCCCTGATGACCCTTAACGTATCCTCTTCCAACTCGAAGTATTCTATGAAATGCCTAAACTCATATAAAACTAGTATTTTCATTTATACCACTCTCTAGACTTTCTGATTTTCAAGATAGAGCACTTCATAATATATAATGATGTATTTTTAAAATCTCTGAAGACAAACAGTAAAATTCAAAAGAAGACTCTTTGACTTACATATATTTTAACAACAGATATTTCTTCAAACTCATTTTACTTCTACCTTATTAAAAGAGACACTTTGTTCCAGTGGATTAAGTGTGTTAGCAGCTGCAGCTGCAGCTGTAAGTTGTGCTGTGAGGGCCTGCAACTGAACAACAAGACCAGCATCCAGAGCTTGAAGTAGTGAAGGTTGAGGTTTCTGCTGCTGTATCTGCAGTGTCTGTATCAACTGCTGAAGCTAAAAGAGAAAAGATAACAAATGCATTAAGCAAAAAAGTATTTTTTAAAGCAAAAAACAAAACTAGTATTTTTCCCTTCCACTTAGGGAAAAAAAAAAAAAAGAAGACAGACCTCAGGAATGCAGTACCATCTAACCTATGGCTTTTTTCATTTATGGCAAATTTTGTTCCCACTTACTGGCTAATTTGTTTTCTGTAGCTGACAAGACATGCAGATGCTTCTTTCTCCTAACTTGCTCTGACAGGTTGCATGATGACCAGTCACCACTCAGGATTTCCTGCTTTCTAGGGTTCCCCCTCTTCTGTTTCTCCAGTTTGATTCCTTCTGACCTGAAAAAAATCTGTTAGCCTACTCCAGCTTCCTAAGGGCCCACATATATTAGGAAAATCTGTATGCTGTAACATTTGTGTAGAGAAAGTAAATGCACTGTTGCAAGCTCCACTTTAAGCTAATGCAACTGGACTATATGAAGAGTTTGCACTAGTGTCTCTAGATTAGTCACAAAATCTCATGCTGAAACTCAGGTTTGTGCTGACTGAATGCAATTCCTTTGCTCTGTTAACAAAAGACAAAAAGCAAATTGACCAGCAACTGGGAATATAAATTGACCTCCTTCAATGACACAGACTCTGGCTCTATATAGGACTATCTCAGGATAAAATTTGCCTAGATGCAATGCTAAACCAGAAGCAGCCACTCCAGGGCAATAGATGTATGGTAACACCAAAGTATGTTACAGTAAAAACAAAGTATGGGTAGCATCAAAAGATAGATGTTAAAACATACTATCTAAAACTAGCGTTGGGTGTTTCAAATATTATTTAAAAATAGTTTTGGGGGTGATGTGGTGATTGGAGTAGTTTGTTTGTGTTGAACAGAATTACCTTAACACAAAAGTAAAGAATACTACTCCTACAGAAAAAAAGCTTTCCTAATGTACCATGGAATTAGCAGAAGCTGTCTTTTAACCTTCCCAGAAGTAAACCCCTGGAGCCTTACCTTTGGGGCAGTCTTGGAAAAAAAGTTGAGCAAATCCAGTCTCTGGATTCAAAGTCCCCGATTACCTTTACATTCATATTCTACCTCCTTGTGGGGTTCACCACTGATCTCTTTTGGGTTCAATCCCTCCCTTCTTACTACGGCTCACCAGAAACTCTGCACAAGCTGATTACACTGATCATCTTTTCCACAATGCATCAAAGATGTATGATCCTTTTTCAGGATTGTTTTACAGTGACCTTCTGATAATGTGAAACAACTCTTCCTATTTTTTAAAAAACAATCATACAGATTCCTACAGCTGAGCCTCTGAAAATGCTTCCATTATTCTTCTACCTTTACTGCAACACATAAAGCTGAAGAGCTACCCTCTCTGTTCTTGGCTGATCCACAGAAGATGAGCAAATATGGCTGGTCCAACTTGTTCACTGCTCTGAGTAGGAAGGAATCAAACTGAAGAAGCAGAGATACGAGCCCCAGAGTGGGAAAATCCTGGGTGGTCACCATTTTAGCTGTTTTCACATTCTTGCTGGTCAGACCTTTTTCACTCTGCCCTCTCCTATGTCTACACTTCCAACTTACCTACATGCACTCTCACACATAAAACACAATTTTAAGATGAAATCAAAGACTTTGGTGCCTGCGAAGGGGCCGGTGGAGCGGCATGAGGAACAGGAAAAAAAAGAGAGAATCAAAGCAAATGTTGCAGTTCACCTGCCAATCCTAGAGATCTGCATGTACATATTTACAGTATATCCAGCTTGTCCCCACGCTTCTACTTAAGACCATATATTCCCTCTCCCCAAATCCATGTTCTTCAATATTTTACCATTTTGAACAAAATATCCAACGTAATTTTTTTGTGATTTGCAGTTTTTAAAACTTTCATTCACTTCTCATCTGCATAATAGTTTTCTTTTGCTTCACCCTTTTTTTCTTTAAAATTACATTACTAACTTTCCACGCTTTCCAGTCTCACTTAACATCCTTTCCTTCCTCAAAAGCTATTACTCCACATTTCACGAAGTGCAATCCACTCCTTAAGTGTACTGTAAAGACACAAAGTATCACTCAGTGTACACTGTAACTGTCTACAAAATATTTACCTGTTGGCCTTGAGGACTCTGTAAAATCTGTGCAACAGCAGCAAGGGTATCTGTATTAGCAATCTGGGATACCCAAGGATCAGGTAAACTTTGCACTACATTGGCCGGAGTAACTGGAGTCACAGGTGTTCCTAAAAACCAGAAAATCCAATGCCAAAATATTTTAACATAGAGAACTAGAAATTGTGTTAGAAGAAAGAAAAAAAAACCCTGCTATTACTGAGAAAGAACTGTATTAACATCAATTGAAACCATTTTTCTGACACACACATAGAGCACACAAAAATAACAGACTCTTATCAACATTTCTCAGGTAGCAGGATTACTGTAAATGTAGTTCACAGCTCTTTCCACTACTGACCTATGGGGACTGCTAACAAAAACATTGACAAATGCAAAACTAATAGATTTCACACAGTAATCCAAACCATTTAATGGAAACAATATATACCAAATGATGATTGCTAGCAATCTGATCAGTAACATCTGTTAGTCCAGAACTTGCTGGACTTGCACCTTATCCCCAAGAGAAGCCTAAAGGATACTATTAGAAATTTCAACCTGCAGCAGCTGGATTCATGAGGATTGCTTATTTTAGCCTCTTTTTTTTTTTCCTCAAGTGGAACACTGAGGTTAAATCAGCAATCTGATAACTAGTTTCATGCTATAATCGTTCAGCCTGGAGAAGAGAAGGCTGCGTGGAGACCTCATAGCAGCCTTCCAGTATCTGAAGGGGGCCTATAGGGATGCTGGGGAGGGACTCTTCATTAGGGACTGTAGTGATAGGACAAGGGGTAACGGGTTAAAACTTAAACAGGGGAAGTTTAGATTGAATATAAGGAAGAAATTCTTTCCTATTAGGGTGGTGAGGCACTGGAATGGGTTGCCCAGGGAGGTTGTGAATGCTCCATCCCTGGCAGTGTTCAAGGCCAGGCTGGACGAGGCCTTGGGTGGTATGGTTTAGAGCAAGGTGTCCCTGCCCATGGCAGGGGGGTTGGAACTTGATGATCTTAATGTCCTTCCAACCCTAACTATTCTGTGATTCTATATTCCAGAAGGATCCTCCATCCCCATAAATAGTCCTGCTTTTAGCTCAGAAGTAGAAATATGCCAAAATGGATGCTAAGTGTAAATGACTAGACTGGCTGTTTTAAAGACAATTTACATCAGAATTTTAAAAACCATTAGAGTAGACCTATGATTTCAGCAATTTCAACTAATCAAACTAATGACAATAAAAAATATTGAGCTAGAAGATGCAGCCAATCCAATCCATGAGCTGGAATTTTTACATATTTACAAACACCAATGAAAAGTAAGGTGCATTTGTCCACCTCAATGCTTTTCAGCAAAGTGTCAGCTAAAGGTGGGTGACAAAAGCAGGCCTGTATGTGCCAGAACCCAATTTCTATATGCAAAATACTCCCAATCTGGAATGAAAAAAATCTCCACAAGCAAAAAAAGTTGAAAAGCCAGCTCCCTGCCATCTGAGTAAGGAAGACACTTAGAGCACAAAATTACCAAGGCTGCATGCACAATAACGTTAATGTTTCGTAAACAGGAACATACTCCGTGAGCAATTTTTTGCCTATGATTCTCCAGCAGAGAAATCTCAGATCTGAGGGAGAAAGAAGTATGTCACCAGCTGCAGTCTGTATTGTGGGCTTTTTTTTCCCTTGAAATCACTGTCTGTTGGCCAGCACAAGTTAAAGGAGCACTCTCTTTTCATTATCCAGCAAGCTCAATGCTATGGATAGCAAAAAGCTACTGATGTACTCTTTCGTTTCTCTCAGTTGTGGCACCACTAACAAAGACTGTATTAAGCCCTGTGTTAAGTTTTTAACTTGTCAGTGATCTACTGTTTTGACTTTAGAGAGCAAAACTAGGTCTTATTCCACTGTTACTGAACCTGAATATACTTATAATATACTGCTGGAAAGTAAGCACAGCAGGCTGCCTCTTGGTTTTGTCATTTCCCTGATCAAGATGCTGGCTCTGTGTCTTTCTAGCATTTATTTGATTTGTATAAGGGAAACGTGTGACATTTTTCAACATGTTAACAGCCAATGCACCAAAGCTGACGTGTTTTGATTCTAAGTATGGTTTTAACCCATCCTTGTTTACCTGGTGTATTGTTGCTCATAGCAGCTGTAGTGCTGGGCAAGACAGGGGTCACAACTGGAGGAGGAATTCCTGCTGCCATATCCAAAAGAGGCTGAATAATTTCACTCTTGAACACATTATTCTTCTGCCATAAATTCAGCACTCTAACAATTTTACTCTAAAAGGAAGAAAGGATAACAGAAGATCTGAGTCATGCTTATATTTCTTGTTATTATCAATTGTGAAATTCTTAACTAGCAATATCAATCCGTCTAGACTGAAACAACTTTAAGTTTAGAAACTGTTAAAGCCTTAAGAACAGTTACACTGCACCACACCAAAGATGTCTAAGCTATAAACCTGAAGCTGACCCTAGACAACAGTAAAGATACACTATGCATAGTGACAGTCTTTTTTCAGCAGAAAATTAAATATATTAAAGCCAAGCAAATGCATCTAGCTTTTCTGCACCTTTACTTTTACAAGATGGTATGGAAGAACAATTGTTTTAAGTATTTTAAAGAATTATTAATAATTAAACAGAGGAATTACTAGTCTCCTCAACTTTTATAGTCAACATATAGGAATGCAATTCTAACCTACCTATGAACCAAAATTTTTATGTCCACTGAAAAATATGCACATACTAATAAGACTGCTACATACGTTTATTAGGAAAGTCGTCAATATTTTGCAAACTCTCTTGATAAACTGAAGAATTTAAAAATTTAAACTGGAACACAATTCCTAACTGTTGAAATTACATTGTAACATTAAAAAACGTGGATCATGGGTAAGAAAGAATCAAAATTAGTACTTCATACAACTCCATTACATGTAACTCATTGTTCAGTTTGCATTTCTATTCCACTGGTTTGATCTGCTACCAAATCTTTTCTCAGCTTCACTTCTACCAAAAGGCAAGATTTTCCTTTATTTTGAAAAGTTGAATAGAAATACATGTGATATTAAAAGACCCTTGCTTACATGAAGGAACAAAAAGTTTGTTGTATCACAGAGAGCAGAAAGTTCTTTACAAGAGCTTGTGTTTGCTGTCATAAAGATGATTTATTTATTTAAATTTTATGAAATATGAACATAGGGTACTTAACCACAGTGTTTAAAACAAAAAAAAACCCTCTGTCTGCCCTGAACTCCAAGACGATAATTAACTTTAATAGAGAGAAATGATGAATTTTCACTGCACAGAAGATGTAGAGTTCCTTCTTCTATCCAGAACTGGAATATAAAACTATTTCTGTGCCTCTGTATCTATCTCACCACTGTAGTTCCCATCACTGAGCCAGACAAAGGAACCAGTGGGGTTTGTTTTGTTATTTAAAAAAAAATGCTACTGTATTTCTGCTTGATTTAAAAACAAAACAAAACCAAACCACATTTGCTTATATAAGGATAACTTGTGTTTTTCTGTCACACCTTTTAATCACACTAAACATCAAAATGCTAGAAAACAGGAACGTATCTTGGTATCTCTGATAGCATAATTTTTTGCTGGGTTAGATATATTGTAACTACTTTCACAGCAAAGACTTTACTATAATACCAAATCCATACACAACGCTGCAGTAAGACCTCAGACTGTAAAACACATTTTCCCTAACTGAGGTGAAAAAGAAAAAGATCCTACAAATGAACCTGATAGGTGCTTTACAAACCACAAACAGATTTTGCTTTACTAACCCCCTTCACATTAAACATGTCTAATGTGGTATTAGTTGCCATGCACAGCATAAGTAGTGCTATTTCTTACCCTACAACAAATTTACTATACTTATTTTTTTAACCAGACGCTTACTGTGTACTTGCATCCATCCTTGTGCCAGATCTCCTTCTTCAATAAGTCAGGCTATTTCTGCATTAGTGCATTTCCCAGAGTAGTAAACCAAATGATTACACAAAATAAACTAGTACTGCTTAAGTAGTACAACTATATGAAGAAAAACATGTTAACTGTTGTCTATTTATATATAAAACACTATGGAATAGAAGCAGCACACACTGATCATGCAGATAACCTAAAACCAGACTGGAAAAACGTCATTTAACTTGATCTGTTCCGCAGTATCTCAGAACTCAGTTGCAGAAGAGAAGACATTTACAGCGGTTTTTCCAACCACTTAAAATTTTCAAATCCTGACATACAGAGTTCCTAACTCCTCTAAAAAGGCAGGAATCTTAAAAACAACTCTAGGAGAATGCAGTGGTTGAACTTAATCATCTTCTATAAATGCCTGGAGTTTCCAGATCTTTGGCTGAAAACTAAAGCTGTATGAATGCATGTGTATTCAAAGAATAACTTGTCTTCCTCTTCCTGCAGTGTTCACCCTCACTCACTACTTCACTTAATGACTCTATTACACAAATTTATGTGGAGGATAAAGCTTATAGCATTTACCATCTTTCTGTAATTTTTCAATTCAATAAGAAGAAATTCTAGCTTTTTTAAGATTAGTGACGAATGTAAAGGAAGTTAAACTGCCTGAACACGCTGCTTATTTCCAGCCAATCTATTATAAACATAATTTGGTAGCCACCTTGACTACTGTGGTCCAATGGAACAGCTGAACTACTCGGTCAAACTATTCAAGTTCGGCCTTATTCAGTTGTTGGTTGATTCAGTATCAAAGGAAAGATAACCTTTAAGATATTTTGTTTCTCTTCTACTGCTCCTTCAGTCCAAAACAGACTATCCTGCACTGAAGATAACTGCTGCCAAGAAAGATGTCTATTCCTTGACACTATAAAAAACCTGCTCGCTCATTTTTTCACTGAAGAGGAGAATAAATCAATAAAAGTCTGCCTATAAATCCCTGTCCTACCACATGCTCACTTAATTTTTCCCTCCATCAAAATACATTAACTTCAATCCACCTGGTCTTCTTGAAAACCTTTCCAAAAGTCTAATTAATCTAATCGGAAGTGTCTTCCCCCATCCCTATGCTAAGAGAAGCAAAATCAAAGAAATACATATAAACATGTAAGTCTGTAACTAGGTCCAATCTAGCAAGCAGAAAGCAAGATCAAAATCTTTCTTCCTCCCAGATAACATGCCTTAATCAGAAAAATCTGTAAGTGGTTTACCTTGTCATCCCCAGGACAACGGTACAAGTTCTGGAAAGTACTGATGATGTTATTGCTGAACCTTGGAGCAAATACATCCTTTTCTTGTCCAAACTGATGCCGGGACTGTCTCACAATGGAGTCAATGACATACAGACCAGGTACCTTGTATTCCGGTTTGCACTACAGAGAATGATAATTTAAAATACACATTTAAAATACGCAAAAATAACAAGCACTGATGGCAGAATAAGTATGATCAGTCCTATTTCATTTTTAAACAGGGCAAAGTACTAATAAAATGCTATCTATTTAACAAATTCTCCTGAAAGATTAAACTCATTCAAAACCAGCCAGCCTTAATATTCAAGTTATCCATCTATATGTATTCTGCAAATATGTAAATGGTTTTAAATCTATTTCCTACCACTAAAAAATTAACATTTTAGAATCTAGCTATTAAAAGTAAGCACAAGAACCACACAGCCTTTTTAAACACATACATCTATTTTAAGAAAACAGAATAAAGCATGGCCAAATTCTTAGCAGTACATTGGTATTAGCTGTAAGTACAATTCAAAATATTTTAGTCCTTCTTTATGATCAAAGTCAGTATTAAAGTTAACATTCGTTTACTTTATTTTACATTTAATTAGTGTTTGGCATATCCTCCCCTTGCAGAAAAAAAAAACAAAACATATTTATGTGGACATCTGTTTGAGAATATTCAGTGATACTGGTCTGGAAAACTTGTATAATTTATGAACAGCATGGTATTTATAAAGCATGTCTGTTAACTATACTAATTATTTAGTTAATTTTACTTAACAAGTAAAGCTAAAACTTTTGTGTTTTAATTGCAAAGTAACTGCAACATAACTACTGCTAAAAGTTTTAAGACAGAATGAAAAGCAGCACAAAGACATAACGAAGTCATTACCAGAATGGTGACTGTAACTATATAGTTACACTATGACATAGATTTACTTCATGAATATTGGTTGTATGCACTTACCACACAAGGTATTAGGGAAACATGGGAAAGTACACACATTCCCTCTCTGGTCCACATAGTCTATAAACATGTTACACAACACACTAAATTCATAATCTCCAATATAGTGCCAAACTATTCAGACTATTAATTTTATTATAGCCTACATACAAACTTCCTTTTCTGAAAAGTGCTGATATGCTAACATTTGCAACCTTGATAAAGCATTTATTTAGGATCTAAACATGGTTCAGTGTAAGTATGGTAATCCTTATTTTTAAGGATGTGTGCAGCATCCTTTTAAGAATAAATGTGCATTATGAAATTACAAAATTAAAATCTAATAGGATATAGTAGATTGTCTTCAGATAATAATCTCAATGTACTGTAGCTATTGAAAAGTTAAATTATTACCAAGAGCATTCCTGATACAGGCCTGTATACAATTTTTCACAATATTCAAATTAATAAAAGGCACAGATATTTAATATATAAAACTCAGCAAACATGTCCAATGGAGTATTTAAAACCATGACATACACAGAAAGAAAAATATTATAATTAATAATATATCTTATAAAAAAGGATAATAAAAGTTAAAACATAAATAAAGAAGAGTTACAGCTGGGGCAGTGAGCCTGCGTATCCCTAATCTCAGATGGACATTTTTAATAACAAATGTGGAATCTCAGTAGATGTTTTCCACAACAAAATTCTCAGTGGATATTTTCCATAACAAATATTCACTTATTTTCTGAGTAGGTCTAAGCAATAAGATAATTTGATTACTCAAAGGATTTATTCAAGTCTTGCTCTCACAATGGAATATCCTTACATATATGAAATGTGGTCCTTAGACCTGTGAAATGTTTTGACGGAGAATAAAACAGTCCAGTGAGTTAAGTGTCACAAAACAAAGAATGTCACAGGCAATTATTTCACCTGGAGTTTCAGTAACCTCATGAGATTAATTCTGAAGAAACAAAATACAGTGGTAAAGAATCAACAGTAAAATAATTGAGATAGTACTGATAGCACTCTGGACAAGTCTATGGCATATTTTAACAGAAGAGTCAGTATCTTGAGCTTTAACTTGAAGTGATTGCTTCCAAACGAGTAAGTCCATGAATACCAAATAGCTAGCTTTCTTCTGCTGATCTCCAATTCTACTAAAACAGGAACTTACTATTATATGATGTTCATAAATTGTGCTTCACTAGATTGTTCATGAAATACTGGAAAAAAAACCAAACCCCAAACAAACAAAATCCCAAAACCAAACAAAAAAAACCAACCCACATCAAGCCCACTAAAGGGAAACATCTAATCCAGAGTGATCATTAACAAGATTATCAATAATAACATCCATCTTCCTTCTCCAACAGTGCAGAACTCCCTCATCAAGTAGTACTAGACACTGAACACAAATGTACTCTTATTAGCTTATGGAAAGGTCACGAACAACCAGTCCATTTCCTGACAAATGGTCACACTTTCATTCAGAGGATAAATCTTCTCCCATGCCTCCGAACGCAGAATAATCAATCACAACCATCACAACAAAAAGCAGTATTTGGAACTTCGGCAATTCCAGATTAATTCCAGCACATGAAACTGCAAAGTGCTACCAATCTCAGATGGGTAAGATGTACACTTGCTCTCATTCTCCTATGTTCACCTGTAGTATTAAACAAGGATCAGAGGTTATCAATACCACTTTCTAGAGGTGGAAGAAGTCAGAGGCAATGCCCTAAAAGACAACTACTTAACAAAACTCTAGCGGTGGTGGTAAAGTAAACTACTAGTCTTTGCTACTGCCATGAAACGTACATGATACCTTTTCCACATAGGACTGATGTGCCAGTACCTAAATAATTAATTCATGAGCTGTTCTGAGACAGTTAAAAACACCAGGCTGAAGTTGAACCCTGCTGACACTGTCCAACCACTGCCAAAAGCCACTGCACCATACACTGGGCACCAAGAAACAAAAGATAGTGAGGAAGACAGGTTACTGACACAGAGCAATCCAGACTGCATGGTAAAATGGACAACAGAAGAAAAATTGCGTCCAATATTGCAACATTAACAGACTAACTTCTCTAGCTTGTTTGTCAAAATAAAAAGGCAATTTGATCATAATTTACTCCTATTTACAGAAGAAGAAAAATTCAGTACTAAAATGACCAATTGAGCAATCAGGTACAATGCAGACAAGGAAGGAAAACTCACAAACTGGAATCCATGCTTTTCCAACTGGAGGTAACATGCAGTTTTACCCAAGAATAATTAACTATTGCAAGGAAACAAAATGCAATAAAATTCTTTTGTTATTCAGAATCCTTAAATTAATCCTGCATCTTCTCAAAAAGTAATTCCAGTCTAATCATATCAATATTTTTTTGTTTTAAATTACTAGCAGGAACCACAAACTGAAATGCTACATCTCCTGCTACACAAAAGATAAGGCTGAATGGTTATCTTCCCTTCAGCTTTAAAAACTATGGGAAAACCTCCCAGCACAGCAACAGCAACTGTCACTCACCAAACCACTGTCAATTCTTTTGCAGTCTTCTGTTCACATGGGCCACCCTGACAGCCTCTTGTAACATTAAATGAATACATACAGAAGTAGTCTTAAGACATTATCTACAGTCATTGAGACCAAAGTATATCACACATACAAAATTAGGACAAAGTACTGTCTTTCTGCATCATGGGTCGGCTACTGATTACAAGAAACTGAATGTGACTAAAAACTAAACTAATGTGATAAAAATACTAATCCATGTGTACCTGAACCCTAATACTCCTCAATACTCTGTAATCCAAAATGGAAGAAATTTTTCTCAGTGCTAACACAAAACACCCATGACTGACATACCTTTTGAATGAATTTCTCAACACTCTGTACAACGTGCTTGTAGAACTGAAAAATAAAACAGTATTTCAGAGGAGAAAAACTCAAAACCCATATATTTGTTCAAGTCATGCAATACTGACAGTAGAACCAGAAACAGAAACAGCAATCCAATACCTATAGCTGAGTATATGCTGTCTTCCTTAGAACACTGAACAGCATACAAACCAAACTAATCTCACTTTTTCTGGCCTTCTGAAGGTTTTTTACTCTGCGTTTTTTTAGTAACATGCACTTCTTTAGTGAGAACTAAGAGAATAACATAACTGTTCTTTCAAAAACATGGTTATTTCATTGTACATGACAAAGATGTTAACCTAAAGTTATGAAGTACAGCACGTACTTCCCTATATGTATTTTCCAAGTGTGCATTTTAATAACCTAAAAGCATAAGTACAGGAAGATAGGAAGACCTTATAGCATCCACCGAATACTCTTATTTTTTTAAGTTGACCTGGCCAGGTTTTTTTTATGGGTTTTGACTGGAGTTTGGTGGCGGTGGTTAGTCAGGTTTTGCAAATGTTTAGGTGTGGGGTTTTTTTTTATTTTTTTTTGTTTGGGTTTGGGGGGGGGTATATTTTGTTTTGTTGGTGTTTATTTTAATCTCACATATCACAATGGCTCTGTATCACCCAAAAAACTACCTTACACAAATATTGTAACCAAAATTATAAGAGAGGAAGCAGGATTTCCAAGTTAAGTAGATGATAAAACATTTTAGTACCATGGAGTTGTTTAATTTATAGAACCATTTACATCATTTAGTACTTCTTTAGGTTCAGTGCAAGTTTTCACATTTTCATTACACTGCAATACGCAAATTTTAATTTATGTAGGCTCCTCTTATTTAAGAATGCCAATGAATTTCACTCTTCTGTCATCATACTGTCGTAGTTTAAGCCCAGACAGTAACTCAGAACCATGCAGCTGTTCACTCACTCTCCCCCTTTTTCTCTCCTCCCTGCTCTCAGAGGGACAGGGAGGAGAATCAAAAGAATATAAATCCCATAGGTTGAGATAAGAACAGTCCAATAAGTAAGGTATAATACAAAACCACTATTACTACTATTAAGGGAAATAACAAGGGGAGATGTCCTGAGTTCAACAGTAGCAGTCATTTTTCTCCTTCCTAGTAGCTGATGGAGTGCTGAGTTTTTGACTTTCACCCTGGGAACAACTCTGGTAACACTGGTGTTTTTAGTTGTTGCCCAGTAATGTTTACTCTGACCAGGAACTTTCTGAGTCTCATGATCTGTCAGGGAGGAGGGGAAGCCAGAAGGAAGCAAAGACAGGACACCTGACCCAAACTAACCAAAGGGGTATTCCATGCCACAGTACGTCATGCCCAGTATATAAACCGGGGGGGGAGTTACCCGAAAGGCTAGATCACTCTCAGGTCAGACTGGGTATCAGTCAGCGGGTGGTGAGCAGTTGTATTCTCTTCCCTTATCATTGTTCTTATTGGTGGTAGCAGTAGTGGTTTTGTGTTATACCTTAGCTACTGGACTGTTCTTATCTCTTACATTCTTCTGATTGTCCTCCCCATCCCTCTGGGAATAGGCAGAAGAAGGGGGGTGGAGTGAGCAAGCAGCTACATGGTTCTGAGTTAGCAGCTGGGATTAACCACAAGAGGTGAGAATATAAAACTAAAAAGGGAAAAGAAAAAAACAATAAACGCAAGTGATGTACAATACAATTGCTCACCACCTGCTGATCGATACCCAGCCTGACCCAAGGAGCGATCTGGGCCTTTCGGGTAACTCCCCCGGTTTATATACTGGGCATGATGTGCTGTGGTATGGAATACCCGTTTGGCTAGTTTGGGTTAAGTATCCTGTATCTGTTCCCCCCCCGGGTTCTTGTGCCCCTCCTCACTGGCAGAGCATGAAACTGAAAAGTTGTCGGGGTAAGCGTTACTTAGCAGCAATTAAAAATATTGGTGTGTTACAGCACTATTCTCAAGACTAAAGCTGAAACACAGCACTGCACCAACTACTAAGGAGGAGAAAAATAACTGTCACAGCTGAATCCAGGACATACTGCTCTCTCCCCAAACTACACAAAACACCAATTTTAATTATCTAAAAACACATCTGCATTCTCAGCAGAGAAGAGAAAGGAAGAGTGTAACCTCATGACTTTTTTGCTTTTATCCTATCCTCTTTTTTACCTCTCTAGCTTTGCCTTTAAGTGCTTAACACTAATGGCACACTTCTTCATCGTTTTTTAGTGCTGTCTCTGCTGCTCTGCTGTTGTTTGGCAATTAGTTTTACTTTGTGGCAAGAAAAAGTCTTAAGAATGATTTCTATTCAGGCAACATAAAAAATAAAATCTATGAACAACACCCTTGAAAACGTACGTCACGAATTTACAAAGATGAAATAAAACTTAAAACAACTGCATTGATCTAAAGGCACACATCTTAGATTTTGGGGCTGGACAGAAAGGGGCAGATTGTAGTTCTATATTTATTCATCTGTTCTCAGGCAACGTGTTTCCTTTTTAAACTGAGGGAAAAAAAAACAAACAACTGTCTTTCTGATCTGACTGAAGAATCAAGCTGGCATAATTCTTTCTCACATATGACAACCAGCAAATGAAAGTGACACAACACATTAAGCCTTATGTTGCACTCCTGAAAATCCCATCACTATCACATTTGATCATAACTTGGAAGTTATATACACAACAAGGGAGGTGGAAAGTTCTGAAGCAAGTTCTTTAAGCTGTTCAGTTATTTAAACACAGATGAGAAATTGGAAGGAAGCCAGAAGAAGTTAGACAATTTCTTACCTTTATAGCCTTGATTGCTGCCTTGGTGATCTGTGTCATTTTAGCTTTAGAAATGGGTGGCTTATAATCATTTAGTGAGTACAACTGAAAAAAAAAATTAAACAAAACCCAGTTATCAGAAATACATTCTGCAGTTGCAAGCTATAAAAATACACCATTTTTCCAGAAGAAAACATCACTTTAAATTTTCATAGGATTTTAAGCAGATATTACACCAGAAAAGGCATCCCTAATTAAGAAAAAATAAAAAAAGCCCAATAAAAATTAAGATCCAACATTCTTAAAAGGTAAGAAGTTTTTCTTTGCAGTGGTCACTACATACCTAGTTTTATTAGCACTAAACACAGCAGACACCTGCAGGTAAAGTTACAAAGGAAACATGTAATATGCAAATACAGTAGCTCTCATTTTCTGTTTCTAGGGCAACTAATATACTTGACTACTTTTATGGAAGCATCACAGAAGCTTAACCAAATATTTACTAAATTCATCACTGTATGCCTGCTGAATCAAATCCTTTTGTTTTCCATTAAACAAAAACATGTACCCCAGTGAGAATGAGCATGTAGCAATTTTGCCACTTAAAACCACAGAACTTGAAAAAGTACAGACTTAATTCATCCACTGTATTAACTTAAGAGTATTAGAAATGTTTGAGCAAAAACCCAGCTGGGTTCTCCGTTTTAAACACAGCTTTGTAACTTCATTAACACCTAACAACCAGATCAGCCACAGTACAGAGGTAGCAGAGTTTAGCAACAATTTTATCCCTGGATGCAGTAATAACTCTATTCTTTTTGCTAGTACATACATCTCCTAGCAGAAGCAATCCAAGATGACAGATACTCATCACAAATTTGCTACCTGGTGAGAACTGTGTATGAACTAATTTCATAGCTATGACTGATAGGTGGTAACTGTAAACAACTCCTCCCTTCACACTGAGTCAAGACTCCATCATCCAAGGCTATTTACTTAGTGTGAAAACTTCTGATTATTCACAATATACAGCTTTGAACAATACACTGTTCTTTTCTCCTTCAATCCTAGGTGTTGACAAGGGACTGTCTAGCATTTGTTGCTTCCATACATAAAAGACGACTAGACAAAAAATGACAAACCGTTTTAAGGATATTCCTGATTTAATTTACATTTTATTTTGGTTTACAACACATATTTAGAAGCATGTTTGCTCAAAAATGAGAATCCTGACAATGGGAATGAACATCCATAGACCATTTTTTATTTCCTTGCTAAAGACAGGGAGAATTAAAAGCTTTCCACAGAATGGTCACTGAAGCAGAAATAAAGCCAAAGGAGCAGTCTGCTCTTCTACTACACACCCTCAGCAATGCAATATATTGAAGTAGATTAATATCCACACACAGATATTAACAATAACTTTATTGAGATTATTCAACCTCAGAAAACATAATTCATATTTGTTTACATTTGACAAAGTAAAATGTAACAGTAAACAGGATTAGACAGTAGAAAGGATAAAACAATCTTAAACACAGGTCATGCTGCCCATGCTTGTAATAATGTACCACCCTGAAGCTAACAAGTAGATACCCTTCAGTCATATTTGAGTTTCCAAGATACAAAGAATTCTCCCTACAAACATGAGATGCTTTTTTTTCTTCTACCTTTTCCTGTTAAAAATAGTTTTAACTAAAACTTCATAGAGCTATCAAAAGAAAAAATTAAAAAAAAGAGGTTTGTCCAAGCCTAAGTATCTGCCTTCTCAGCTTGAAAGGATTTCCATTAAAACTGAAATTATAACAAGTTCACAGCTAGACATCCACTTTTAAAACAACTGTTACTACTTCTCACTAATGCTAACTGCTGTTGTAAAATATTCTACATTACTTCTTACACAACAAAAAAAAGCAATATGCCTCTGAATTCAAATGTTTAAGTACTCTTCAACACCACAGGGGAAAGGGAGAAAAGAGACAGAAAATCAAGAGTCTCCTATCAAGTTTTTCTCTGTTTTATACTCATAGCTCAGTGCTCAACTTCCAGTTACGCACAGGTGATTTACAAAATCACAGGTCACTCATCCTGGCTATTGGCTTTGCTGAATGATGTGCAACTACAGCCCATCTACTTCTGGGGCCACTGCAGTGCCAGAAACGTTTTGGTTACATTCAGACAGTGCCTTAGCAGAGCCAGTCTGTGCATTCCTGGTCAGCATTCTCAAAACCCAAAACATTAGTAAAAGCAACTCACAGAGCAAATATGAAATTAGTCTAGATTCAAAAAGCCACTTTGCCAATCCAAAAACAGTCCCAGAAGAGACAGGCACAGTAGCTCCTTCACCTGTGACATACACAGCTACAAGAAGGCAGAACCGCTGACTCACAAAGATAAACTGGGACCACACCTGACCAGTCCATCAGCTTTGAAGTGATCAGGACAAAAAGGGGACAGGGCAGTTCAAAGCATCAAAGTAGCTACAACACAGTGCTGAGAAACACGGAAGAGTTGGACATGAGTGATTCTGAAGCATCAGTTGTGTGCAGTCAGGTATTTTAGGACCACACATCCAGATTATGCAAAAACCCAACAGGATAACATGGGTTGTTGTCAGCATCCCATTATTTTACTCCAGGTAACAGAGAGGCAAGTTGAGCATTAAGGACAGATAATGCAAGATAGAAAAAGAAAAAAATGAACCAAAAGAAACAGCAAAATAAAGAACATACTTCTGTAGAGGTAGGCTTTTTGAACAATGCATACAATGTTTCAGGTTTTAACAGCCATATAAAGGAAAACACAAATCCTAAATTTAACACCTTTGGAAGACTCAAAATGGGGGGGGGGGGGGGGGGGGAGTGGGGGGCATTTCTGTTTGTAGAAGCTTTTCATTTCCCAAAAATACCTTTTGTTTTGAGAAACACATTCACTTGGAAAACTGGTGATTTAGGTTTGTCAGTGCATGGGAGAAGTCCAAAGAAACAGCATTTGTACAAGGGCAAAGTGAGGACATGGTGCAAAATACCTACTTGTAATTTCAGTACATCTAATGCAACACTTGCTTTGGGGGGAAAAATAAAAAAAAATTCTAGTTTCTCTCACAAATTAAATAATGTGGCATTTCTTAAAATATCTTAACTCAACCTTTTGGTATTAAACAGAATTTAATTACATAAAATACAGGCATCCCCAGCATAGTTTGATCCAAATTAAAGAGGGACAAGAAACCCCCCCACTTTTCTGAATGTAGATACTCTAATATGCACAAACAACTTTCTCAATACCTACTGACAGCACACATTCCTAGCTTTATCTTCAGCAACTTTATACATTTATAAGCAGTTATCCAACCACAGTTAGAATAGTTTAGTCTGGAAGGGACCATTAAAGACCATCTAGTTCCATGCCACCTGCCACAGGAAGGGACACCTTCCACTATACCAGGTTGCTCACCACCCCACCCAACCTGGCCTTGAACACTTCAGGGACAGGGCAGCTACAGCTTCCCTGGCCAACCTGTGCCACTGCCTCACCACCCTCACAGTAAAGAACTTCTTGTACCTAATCTAAATCTACCTCCTTTTAGTTTAAAACCATTACCCCTTGTCCTATAAAGCCTTGGTAGAAAATCTCTACATCTGCATTCTTCTAAGCACCCTTTAAGCACTGGTATGCCTCAGTAAGGTCTCCCTGAATCTTCCTGTTCTCCAGGCTGAACAATCCCAACTCTCTCCACCTCTCGTCATAGGAGAGGTACCCCAGTCCTCCAATCATTGTCATGGCTCTCCTCTGGATCAACTCTAACAAGTCCATGTCTTTCTTATGTTGAGGATGCCAGAACTCGATGCAGTACTCCAGGCGGGGTCTTGCAGGAGACAGTAGAAAGGAAGAATAGCCTCCCTCAACCTGCTGGGCACATCTCTTTTTATGCAGCCCAGGACACAGTTGGCTTTCTGAGCTGCAAGCTCACATTGCTGAGTCATCTCTGTTTTTTAATCTAGCAACATCCCAAACTGATCTCCACAGGGCTCTTCTAAATCCATTCATCACCCACTCTTTACAGACACTGGTGACTGCACTGACTTGGGTGAAGGACCCTGCACTTTGCCTTGCTGAACTTCATAAAGTTCATGGGGGCCCTCTCCTCAAGCCTGTCGCAGCTCATCTGGATGGCATCCCTCAAGCATATCAATTGAACACTCAGCTTGGTGTCATATGCAAACTCATTGAGGGCACTCTCAATCCCACTGTCTATGCTGTTAATTAAGATATTAAATACTACTGGTCCCAATATGGATCCCTGAGGGACACCACCTGTTACTGATTTCCATTTGGACATTGAGCCATTAACTGCAACTCTCTGGACGCTGCCATCCAGCCAACTTCTTAGCCATCCAATACTCTATCCATCAAACCTATCCATTCTCCTGCTAGGCTGGCTAGAGAAGCAAGATTTTGATGCCTCTCTAGTAATGAAAACTTTGTTTTTTAATCTAGCATAGATGATGAAAGACAGTGGCCCTTCAAAGAACTCTTTAAACTTAGTTAATGCAAAATAACTGCAATTTATTCAGGATTGTAAAATACTAAAATAATGAGTTAAAAATATTTTTGTTTTTAATATTTGTGCTTACATTCTGGTTCATTTTTTCCTGTACGGCCTTTTGTACAAATGCTTAGCCAAAACAGTTTGCTATAATTATTTCTTCATCATGCTTTTTCATAAGGCATTCATGCTCATTGGCAGAAGATAACTGCTTGCCCTCATGTAACAGAAGCCTTGAAATAAACTAACAAAAAATGGCAACACCACTAAATAGTAAAGTCAGGGAAACTACATGAAATATAATAAAAGCAATCAAGTTTCATAAACAAACAGGGAAATGCATAAAAATCAGCCCTTTTCAGAAGGGAGAAGGCACAGAAGGTCTTATTAGAGTGTTCCTCCAGGGCAGTCAATGCACAGGAGAAAAAGCCCTACAGAAAAAGTGTCCTCCACTTTTCTTCTTAGATCTACACATTGTGGAAAAACTGTGGAGTCTTCCCATACCAGAATCCTCCTCAAGTGTGTTTATAAGAAGGTAAAGAACAAGCTCACAATG